CGAAGATCATAAGGCCAGTGAACTGATATGTCTTCAAGAAAACTTAGATATGAACTCAAATTCATTATAGTGTACCTTTCACGGAGGTAAAACATCTCATCATGTATAGAGATGACAGTGTCGTACAACTTCTTCAATTCGTATTCCATTATCTAGCATAAGAGATGATGAACTATTTCATCAGACCACCACCTTACAGATTCTTCTATCAAACAAAAACAATAGAACATCCTCTACATTCAAGTAAAGTGGAGTTCAAAACAGAATCTCATCATAAATGGACCTCTTAACATATCATGACCGAGAAAACACAATGATAAAGAATGTTCGTGAAATGTGATTTAAGAAATACCGGCAGAAATAATGAGATGCAAATGCAATTTACAAAGTGAATAGATCTACATCTAGATAAGAAGTTCTGGCCTTTGGATTCCTTCACACTATTTTATGGCTTCTTGGTATTTTTTGCTTGAAGGGTCGCCTTCAATTGAAGCTTCAAAGGTATTTAAATGATGATCCCGCCTTCAATAAGTGGGGAATGATCATGAGTTTATAAGTGAGAAATACTATCTCCATTGGAATAGCCTTCAATCAGTGGGGAATGATCATGAGTTTATAAGTGAGGAATACTATCTCCATTGGAATAAGACATTTTGGGGAAATCAAAAGCAAATCCATGAGAGCTTATGCTCAAAGTGGATAATATCATACCATTGTGGAGATTCGTGATTCCTAAAAGAGTGGTCCTTAGCGCTACACTCTTCAGAATCGAAGGATTTGGATCTTCTATTTCTCTAATGTTTTGGTTGCAGCATTTTCTTCTATTTATATCTCTCTTTTTCTTTTTCTTTTTCCATTTCACACTTCATCTCCTCTCACTTTCTGAAGTCCCCGATTTTTTTGGCCAAACTCTAGAAGTTGAACATCCAAAGAAGTTACAAGTTTTTCAATTGGTTGTGCAAATAATATCATTTACACAAGAAAAAGGAGATTCTTGCAGAAAACATAATTGTTTAAAGTAAGGATATTGTAAGGAAGCAAAAGGAGACAACCTGTCATACAGTTGTTTTCATTCCAGTTTAAGTTCTCAAAATCCGCTAACTGAATGTATATCCAATCAAATTCCAACAAAATTATTCGAGGAATAACATAATATCATGCAGGATGAGTTATTTTAAGGATATAGTGACGAAGCGGTGCTCATTATATGGTCACAAATCTTTGCATACAGAAAGCATAATTAGGAAGAACACCAAAAAATGAGCAAGCCAGAAATAAAATGAGAAATTTCAGGACGTACTTCAATCTGCCCTTTCTTAGCAACCTTGGACCAATCCTTAGAAGAAACACCGGACCTCCATTCAAATTCAACAGTAACTGAACCTGGGGGTTTTTGTTCCGGAGCCCAAAAACAAGCAGTATAATCACCAGACTCGGCTGCAGTGAACGCGAAATTTCCAGAATCCACATTATCCGCATTATGATACGTGTTGCCATGAGGCGAACTGACCTAATAAGAACCTCCATTACCACATATTAATCATCTAAACAAATTCCATAACCAACAAAAACACAGAATTCCGGAAAAGAGATACCGATTTGAAAACACAAATGCGAGAAAATAGAATAAAGATGATCATGAGACCGTCCCACCATATAATTTCTGGATAAAAGTAGCCAAGTTTCCATATAATACAGGGAGAATGAAACATAACGTAGGGCAATGCATAAAAAAGCGTAAACAGAAACAGAAATTAAGCATTGAATCGGAAAAGGAAGAATGAATACCCTGACAGTGAGTTTGCTAGAATCGGGAATGGGAACATCTTCGTTGGGACTAATCACCGAATACTTGCCGACCGTCATGGCATTGGTTTTAATGTCATCCGAAATGCATTTGGTGCCGCCCGATTGAAGCTCGAACCGCATCGAAACAGCAACGGTGGACATCAGCCCCAAAAGAACCGAAACCAAGAAACTCCATTTCGGCATGATTGATCTCCGGCAGGGGTAGCCTGTAAGCTCTAACAAGGTTAAGTGATTGGAATATAAAGTTCAGACTGGACAGAACGTAATCTGAAGAGAACATCAAATTCAAAGAGAAACGCAAAGATCTGCGGGCGATTTGGCCATGGCGAACGCTAAGGAACCACGGTGTTCAGTTTCTTTTCAAACCCGTCTCTAGCGAGTGAACTGACACGTCATCCCAATCACACCCATAAAAAAACATATATTTAGTAACTATGTAGCAGTTCATTAATCTACCTATTTAATTAAACCTCATTAAAAATGTACATATTAAAATTTAGGGATTAAATTATTACTATATCTTATTATATTTAATTAAGTATAAAAGTTTTTTTAATTAAACAATATTTATAAATGGAATGAAATAGAATGTTTAAAAAGTTTATAATAAGCTACAAAATTTTTAAAATTTTTAAAATTAAGATTTATCTATTGCAATTCAAACATTTAATTATTTATAAAATTTTAATTCATGTTTAAATATTTTTGTCATTAACTTTTTAATATTATTTAATAAATTTATGTTGATGGGTTATCCGAAAAAAAAAAAAAAAAATCATGAATTTATAAGTAAGAAATATCGTATAAAATCATGAATTTATAAGTAAGAAATATCGCATGACCTAGAAAAACAAAAAATAAAATCACTTACAAATTTTAATACTTAATTTCACACTTCTGAACTTAATTTTCATACTATCACTCTCAAACAGGCAACTTACTTGAAAAGATCTTTTTAAGTAAGAAAATTCTCCCATGTAATAGTGAAGTCCTGATCATCCGGTTGTGGAGAATTTAAAGCAGTGGCCCATTGTGGTTGATTTTTCAGTTGGATCTCTTCCCAGTTTTTGGTGGACAGCAAATTTTGATATTATTTGATCAAAGAACAGGCAAGGAATTAATGAAAAACTTTTCTTTAAACAACAGCAGTGTCGTGGTTGACGCTGCCAAATCAATGCAGGTCAAGATGTTTGCGCAGTAATCATGTAGGACATCCTCATGTCAAATCCAAATCTTCCCACCTTGACAAAACCAAAAGCATCAATGCAGAGAATTTCACAGAGCAAAGATGAAGTTCGGGAAGGAATTTTTGTCTCAAATGGTGCCGGAATGGCAAGAGGCATACCTGGATTACAGCCATCTGAAAACAGTGTTGAAAGAAGTCAGCCGGGCGAGACAGCCAGAGGCATCCGACGGGACAACGCGCAACTTGAAGAGAAGGGTCTCTCTGTACAGAGCTTTCAGCGGGCTAGCAGGACCGAGACGCTCTCAACAGATGCAGGAGGATGCTATACATACAAACATAATTCATACAGGGTCTGAAGAGTGTTACCAGAGCATGCTGTTCGCTTCATCGTCGGAGCAAAGCGATGAACATCAGGTGGAGTTCTTCAGGAGACTTGATGATGAGTTTAATAAAGTGGTGGGGTTTTACAAGAAGGAAGTGGCGGAGCTGATGAGGGAGGCTGAGGAGTTGAGCAAGCAGATAGATATCTTGATTGCGCTGCGGATTAAGGTAGAGAAGCCAGATATTGCTCTTGAAGATTTTAATGAAAGTGTCAGTCTTACAGGTAGTAGTACATCCTCAGCTTCTACTTCTACTGCTAAGTCCACTTTTCCCAGAACTGCAAGTAAGTGATCGTTGAATAGATTCTTGAACTTTCGATTTTGTGTTCGATAAATACCAGTAACAAAGATGAACGTATTTGTAGAACGGTCAAGCTTGGAGGTAACCCAAGAAGTTGAGATGGAAACTAGAGAAGCAAAAAGTAACAGCAGGAAGGCCAGTGGAGGAATAGCTCATCCTACCATTCAAAAACTCAAGTTAGAGTTGTTGTCCCAAGTACGGATTAATGTCCAGCCCGAAACACCAATATCGACATTAAAATGTATGGTCATGAGTTCCAAATCTCAGTTGTCTTATAATAAGACAGAGTTGAGGAAGGCAGAAGAACTGATGAAGCGTGCCTTCATTGAATTCTACCAAAAGCTTCGAGTTCTAAAAGGCTACAGGTAATGCATGAATATTGATATCATACTGAACATATATTACTTCACTGTTGAATTTGCAGAACTATAAATGGAGTTGTTCCTTATGAATCTGCAGTTTGTTGAATAAACTGGCCGTTTCGAAGATCATGAAGAAATATGATAAGGTCTCAACAGCCACCAATGTTTATATTTGAAGAACATAATCTTTTTCCTTCAGTAATTATGATTTTATCCTTGCAGATTACATCACGTAAAGCATCGAAGGCCTACCTCGAAATGGTGGAAAAATCTCCTCTTGGCAGCATTCTTGAGGTCTGCAACGATTCCTGAGACAGAATTGTGGTTTAAAGTCCTTTCTTTTTTCAAAGTGTTTCTGTACAACAACAGGTTACAGGGCTCATAGAAAGGGTGGAGGCTGTTTTCATTAAGCACTTTGCAGATGGAAACCGTAGAAGAGGGATGGACATTTTGAAAAGAAAAATCAAAAGGGAAAGACAAGGAATTACCTTTTTCTCCGGTAAGAAGACTAGTTGCTTTATGTAACAGCCCAAGCCCACCGCTAATAGATATTGTCCGCTTTGGCCCGTTACGTATCGTTGTCAACCTCACGATTTTTAAAAACGCATCTGTTAGGAAGAGGTTTTCACACCCTTATAGAAATACTTCGTTCCTCTCTCCAACCGATGTGTCTTACAATCCACCCCTTTGGGGGCCAGCGTCCTCATTGGCACACCGCTCATTACCTGACTCTGATACCATTTGTAACAGCCCAAGCCCACCGCTGACAGATATCGTCCACTTTGGCCCGTTAGGTATTGTCGTCAACTTCACGGTTTTTAAAAACGCGTCTGTTAGGGAGAAATTTCCACACCCTAATAGAAATGTTTTGTTCCCCTCTCCAACCGATGTGAGATTTTACACTTCAAAGCTAATGTCTTGTGCTCTTAAACTTGAATTGGGTATCTGCAGGTTTTTTCTTTGGCTGCTCGCTTGCACTTGTAGTGGCCATCATTCTAGTCATACACCTAAGAAACATCTTCAAGAGTCAAGGGCGTGGGCCGTACATGGATAACATATTTCCTCTCTATAGGTAATTCAAGAAGCTTACTTTGAAGCTCCAAAGAACATGGCTGCTCGATTGTTGATACCAATGTTTCCTTTTTCAGCCTTTTTGGATTCATTGTCTTGCACATGCTGATATACTCTGCAAATCTATACTTTTGGAGGCGTTACCATGTAAACTACACCCTTATGTTTGGCTTCAAGCAAGGGACGGAGTTGGGTTACTGGGAGGTCTTTTTTCTTAGTTCAGGTCTTGCTGTGATCACAATGGCTTGCATCCTCTCCAATTTGGACATGGAAGCAGACCCCAGAACCCGATCCTTTGCGGCCATAACTGAATCAGTCCCTTTGGCTCTACTCATTGTAAGAAGTTCATGTCTCAAATATCTGTCTTCATCATCCATGGCTGAACTCAATCATTCTGCAGGCCCTTCTTTTCTTAATATTCTGTCCTTTCGACATCCTATTTCGTCCCAGCCGCTTCTTCCTCATTCGCAGCGCATTTCATTTGGTCTGTGCTCCTTTATACAAGGTACTTGGAGCAAGAGAAGGTTTACAAAAATGTATATCTATTGTCGAACACATAACTTAAATCTATATATTGTCTTCAGGTTAGCCTCCAAGACTTTTTCTTGGCAGACCAGCTCACTAGCCAGGTTTGATATCAAGCCTCTTTAAACTTCAATATCTTCTATTCTCCGGAAGAACTTCGATGTCTATCATCTAGATGACTGAAATCGTTCAAAGTTCATACACCAAAGCTAAACCAGATACAATTTCACATCAGGTTCAAGCGTTCAGAAGTTTACAATTCTACGTCTGCTACTATGGGTGGGGGGATTTCATACGAAGATCAAATAAGTGCTTCGAGAGCAGAATTTTCGAAGCTTTTTACTTTGTTGTTGCAATTATTCCATACTGGATTCGTACTCTTCAGGTAATCTGGCTAGTGTTTTGCACAGCAAACTACAAATGTCTTCCTCAATATTGTATGAACTCATCAGAGATAAAGTTGTTGAATGCTTACAGTGCCTTCGACGTTTGGTGGAAGAGAAAGATGTAGAACATGTATTTAATGGACTGAAATACTTCTCAACAATCGTTGCAATTGCAATGAGAACAGGCCATGATTTGAATATGGGGATGATTTGGAGAATTTTAGCGGCAATTAGTTCTGCTATTGCAACAATTTCAGGCACATATTGGGACATAGTTCAAGATTGGGGACTTCTCCAACGAAACTCGAAAAATCCATGGTTGAGAGACAAACTATTGATATCCAACAAAAATGTTTACTATGTAGCAATTGTAAGAACATACCGCAAATTCTTGAAAACCTAGCTTTCCATTACATGTTTTAGCCGATAATACCAATCTTCCGAATCTTGGTTGCAGGGACTGAATATCTTGTTGAGACTCGCTTGGATGCAATCAGTATTAGGTTTCAGAGAAGCTCCATTTATCCACAGACAAGCCTTGATCGCCATTGTCGCCGTGCTGGAAATCATTCGACGAGGAATCTGGAACTTCTTCAGGTTTGTCCGATTGTAAAGCTGTATTAACAACGTCAGCGAAAAAGAAATCAACTAACGAAACTTGATTTTGTGTTCATCAGGATGGAGAATGAACACCTGAACAATGTGGGGAAGTTCAGAGCATTCAACTCTGTGCCATTACCTTTCGAATTCGACGACAACAACAACAAAACGAGAACTCGACTATGAGTAAGACGATTACAGTGAAAGAAATAATCTTATAATAAATAAACATAATTATAAAAATAAAAACAAAAATAAAAACATGTTAATTTATAGATTATACCCCATATTCCAAGATTCATGATGCGGTGACATGCACGTGACATTATTCATATTATATGGTTGGACTTTTATAATTCTCTTCCCGGGTGTGACATTATTCATTTCATACAAAATTCAACTATATAAAAGTTCATTAAGCTAATTTTATTTATTTTTTTTAAAGAAAAAAATGGTTTGTTTTTTTCTTGCTGAATGTTCTCCATATAAAGTCATAAACATACAGCTGTATGACTTTGGCCCGTTCAAGTTATATTTTTCAATAATGATAACTAACCGTATCTCGTTTTTTTTTCCCGAGTCGCATGTTTTAATTTTCTTTGGTCGTTAATATCTCGAATTCCATTACGGCTTTTCTTTTTACTTAACCAACTCTTGCCAAATACTCGTAAGTCGTAAACAAAATTAGCTTTGTTAATAACGGATAAAATTTGAAAATAAATAATGCACCCGACCTTCGTTTGTAGATTTAAAGGATGACATACATATTTATAAAAAAAATATTTTTTTTGTAATACAATAAATAGAATATAAATTATTGGTGATTATGTGTCGTTCATATTAATTATGATTAAGAGATTATATTATGATTATTAATTATGTATGCATTATATATGAGATGATATGTGGAAGTCAAAATTAATCTCCCAAGTAAAAATGGGCCAAGTGACGTCATAATTAACCACCATAAATAATACGCCATTTCCCACCACCACCTATACTCCCATTATTTGTTTAGCTTCTCAAACCAACCATTCACTAATTATTTTAAAAATTAGCCCATAATTTTACATAATTTTATGATGATTATAAAAAACACGTAAATTTTTTAATTTTTATCCAACCGTTATTAAGAAACCGTACATTATGTAATGAATGTAGCAGTCTGATTAAATAAAATTTATATAAAAGAGAGAAAAAAATATCTCATATTATATTCCTTACTACTTTTTTTTTACTTTTAAAAATTGTTTTGTTTCGAATTCTATTTTGATCCAAAATTTTAAAAAATTCTATAAATATAAGAATAATCATATTAATTTATCTAAAATGACATTTTAATTCAATACGATTATATGTTATGACAGTGCAGTAAATAAAATATTAATTATTATTCTAATAATCGATAATTCAATTTTTTACCGTTGTAATTACTGAACTAAAAAAATAACTGTATTCAAATGTCGTTTTTTTTACGTGAGATTTGGAAAAATTAAAAAAAAAAAAAAAGTCGAAAACCCTAATCTATATGAGCTATGACATATGCTCATAATGACATATAATATAAAGAAAATTTTACATTATTGTATTGTTTATTATATCATAATGAGATTTAAAATTTAGAATTAAAAGCAAAATTCTAAAAGAAAAAAAGTAAAAAGAAATGACCTAATTATTATTATTTATTCCGCGTGATATTAACTACATGCAATAATTTTGAAGGAACATTGCTTGTGGAAAGCATCGCCATCGACGAATCGCGGCTGAACAGCATAATGTACTGCTTGATGCTACTAGTCAAGCGATCCTTATCTCTACGCGGAGCGAAGCGAGTTGTTCCCATGGTGATAATGTGGGACATCCTCCTCTCAAATCGATCCCAGTTACTCATTTTTCACTGTTTTTCCTCTTCTGCAGCCGGCGTTCGAGACTCAGTGGATGAACGAATCTGGAGAGGAGAACCCAACATGAAAAGTATTCTCCATTTCTTGCTGAAAACGAAAGCCACTGAAGCTTCTGCGCGCTCATGATTCCGACGAAGTCAAAGGGTAAACCCCTTTATTTATTAAAGATGATCTAAGAAAAAAATGGAATGACAGGTCTAAAATAATTGTCAAATGCCCACCGAATATATATATGTATGTATGGGAATGCATTTCGAATAACCAATTGGCAACTCATCCTGTAAAGCCACCCTTCTTAGATGAAGTTCGGGAAGGAGTTTTTGTCCCAAATGGTGCCGGAATGGCAAGAAGCGTACTTGGATTACAATAATCTGAAAGCAATTTTGAAAGAAGTAAGCATATCTAGGCAGCCAAAAGCTCCGGATGCCTCAGGAAAGCTAAAGAGAAAGATGTCATTATATAGAGCTTTCAGTGGGCTTACAACGCAGAGGAATTCTCCAAGGAAGCAGGATGATGCAATCATCACAAACATAGTTCATAATGGTTCTGAAGAGAGCTATCAGAGCATGTTCTTTATGTCATCTGACCAAGGAGGTGGAAATGAGGTGCTATTCTTTAGGGAACTTGATGCTGAGTTCAATAAGGTGGTGAGGTTTTACAAGAAGAAAGTGGGGGAGCTGACGGTGGAGGCTGAGGAATTGAGCAAACAGATGGATATTTTGGTTGCTCTAAGGATTAAGGTGGAGAAACCAGATGTTGCTTCCAATGATGTCGATGAGCCTGTCGATCTAGCAGGAACTGCAGCCTCCTCAACTGTTAATTCCATCAATGGAAGAAGTACAGGTAAGTTGGAAAAAAGATCTTTAGTTATAAATGCAATGGTTTTGTGAATTTGATTTGGTTTCTTACTGTCTAGATTGTGTTTTAGAAGGACGGTCGCGCTTCGAAATAACTCAGGAAGTTGAGACGGTAGACGAGGAGATGGAAGCAAAAGAGGGCAACAGTTACAGCAGGAAAGGGAGTAGGGGAACAACTCAAACCATTCAAGAACACAGGCCAGCTTCATTAGACTTGTTACCCCATGTAAGGATTAATATCGCTCCTGAAACACCAGTATCAACCTTGAAATACATGGTTGCGAGTTCCAAAGCTGGGTTATCATATAAGAAAACGGAGTTGAGGAAGTCAGAAGAATTGATGACTCGGGCCTTGATTGAATTCTACCAAAAGCTTCAAGTTCTAAAAGGTTACAGGTAATAGCAATACATGAGTCTTGATTATCATAGTGAAGATTATGTTTCTTCATTGTTGAATTTGTCAAAATATTAACAGCTTTACTTCTAATGGATCTACAGCTTCTTAAACATATTGGCTGTTTCGAAGATCGTGAAGAAGTATGATAAGGTAAGGTCTCCACAGCTTCCAGTCTATTTACTTGAAATGGATTATCTTTTTCCTTCAAGTAATTCTGAATCTCGGGTTTTGTCAATACAGATAACGTCACGTCGAGCGTCGAAGGTCTACTTAGAAATGGTGGATAAATCTCCTCTTGGCAGCACTATGGAGGTCTGTTACAGTTCCTGAAATTTCATGGTGGTATATTTAGCCAACTCTCACCTGAAAGTTTTTCTTCTTCAAAATGTTTCTGTACTGCCACAGGTCACACGGCTCATAGAAAGAGTGGAG